GGTGTCGGAGTATCTGATCGTAACTAGATATTAAGAATTTCTTTTTCCTGTCCAAAAAGTTAATTTCCCTTTCCCGCTGAAAGCGTCTAGGCACAGGTTGAAAACTGATTAGACCTAAAGGTGCAATCTTTCGTTTTTGCCGCGTCAAGGTTAAAAAGTCGTCTGTGCCACCTTGGTAAAAAAAACACCCATCTACAACATTCCTCTAGAAGCGAGTGGGAAAATAGCATAGACTGGAGGTGACGTCGTTCCATAGATGAGAAATGGCCATGTCTTCAACTGCCTCTCCCAGCCAGTCAGCACATCACAATTTTTTATATTTCCAAATGGATGTTTGGCAGGTGCTCTGGTGTGGTTGCTCCTTTCTGCCTAGGAAACTTCTATCGTCCTTATCTCTCCTCTTACTTGTCTTCGTATTATAAATTCTCTTTTTTTTTTGTAGATGTTTTACGGCGCTAGCAATATTCGACACATGGCCAGTGTTGCAAGTACCGTAAAACTACTTAGATTTTAAACATGTAGAGTCGACAAGAAGCTAAAATGTCCTAAGCCCAGAAAGCAACATTCAGGAGAGGGTGAAAACTGCTTCATTCTTTTGAAAACTGTAGCTATTCTATGCATCTTTTCTTGCTTTTTCAACTTTTAGAATTTGCATTCTGACAAAATATTTCATGAGCACATTGACATGAAGCCCATACCAGAAACAAATTATTAAGAAATTGCAATTTAAACAGAAAAATACTTACAATTTAGGGCTTACTGTATCTGACCCACTGGCCGACGACTTACTTTTCTTCTTCTCTGCCAGTACCCAAGCTGTACAGCGTCCCCAAGTACCGGCCTGTGGGGGAGGGCCTCTACGTCAGAGTCTGTGACCCCGTCTGTCACACCGTGAAGCCGAAGACCCCAGAAGCAGAAAACAGGAAAGGTCGAGGGTCAACTGTTGTACTTCCGCCTGCTCCCTCGCCATCGGCTTGTCGTCGCCCGTGAATTTGATGCACCGTGCCTTTAATTTTAGCTGGCACTTGTATGACCTATTTGTGATGCAAGTGATGTAAAACTTTTACTAAAACTACTAAAAACTCGGAGATCAGAGAAAAGGAATAGAAGGCGCTACGGACTGCAGTACTGAAACATATCTTTTTCAGAATCAATAATGTATTATT